AGTCTTGTGAAGGACTGGCTTTATAAAACAAGAACAGCTATTAATTCCACAAAGAATTGGATTGTCAAATGATATCAAAGGACTGACACACCCATCTACTTATAAGAATATCTTCTCTAGGTGGTTGGGTGGCTTAGTTGGTTAAGCATCAGACTCTTGGTTTTTGATGTCATGGTCTGTTACTTCGAGCCCTATCTAGGGCTCTGTGCTGACAGTGCAGAGCCTGCTTGGGATTCTTTATCTTCCTGTCTCTCTGCTCACTCTCTCCATCTCTCTCAAAATAAATAAATAAACAAACTTAAAAAAAAAAAAAAGAATGTCTTCTTTTAGGGTGCCTGACTTGCTTAGTTGGTAGTGTGTGACCCTTGATCACAGGTTGTGAGTTCCAGCTCCTGGGTACAGAGATTACTTTTTAAAAGTTAAAAAAAAAAGAATGTCTTCTTTCTCTCTGGGTTCCTAATAGCCTGGGGGAGAAGGCCTTGGCAAAAAGATTGCTTTCGGACTCTGAATATCAGCAACCAATTCTTTTTTTTTTTTTTTTTTAATGTTTTATTTATTTCTAGGAGAGAGAGACAGCGTGAGCAGGGGAGGGTCAGAGAGAGAGGGAGTCACAGACTGAAACAGGCTTCAGGCTCTGAGCTGGCAGTCAGCACAGAGCCCGATGCAGGGCTCAAACCCACGAACTGCGAGATCATGACCTAAGCGAAAGTCGGACGCTTAACCGACTGAGCCACCCAGGCGCCCCTCAGCAACCAATTCTTGATTATAAAGTTACTAAATCTTCTCAAATATTTTGTCAGGGCAAACAGTAAAATAATTCTGGGAGTATTAAACAACCTCATGGGCCCAAGAGGGGTCCTCAGAAAGGGTGTGAAAGATACGGTCTTCAAAGGATCTAGAGTCACTCTCAACAACAGGCAAAGAAAGAATCAACTAACTGCCTGCAGGCCCCCTGCAGATAGAAAGCCAGGTCAAGTTCTTAGGATGTAAAAGGAGACCAGTAGGGAAAATAGCTGTTTTTACTGGAGAAAGGATCCAGGAGAAAGGATTGGTAACCAATGGAACTGAATTTGGAAAGGAAGAAACAATCAGATTTTTATTTTCCTCTCCCACCTGGGCTCAGAAAGTAATAAACTTACAAAAGCTCTTGAGGATCCTCCCCAGAATAAGAAATTATTCAAGTAAAGGGTCACCTGAGTGGCTCAGTTGGTTAAGCATCTGACTTTGGCACAGGTCACGATCTTGCAGTTGATGAGTTCAAGCTCTGCATCAGGCTCTGTGCTGACAGCTCAGAGCCTGGAACCTGCTTCAGATTCTGTCTCTGTCTCTCTCTTTGCCCCTCCCCCGCTTTTTGTCTCTCTCTCAAAAATAAACATTAAAAAAATATTCAAGTATAGCCTTTAGTTTGGCCTTTAAAAAAAATGTTTTTTTAATTTATTTTCAAGAGCAAGAGAGAGATAGCATGAGCAGGGGAGGGCCAGAGAGAGAGGGAGACACAGAATCTGAAACAGTCTCCAGGCTCTGAGCTGGCAGTCAGCACAGAGCCCAACACGGGACTCAAAGCCATAAACCAGTGAGATCATGACCTGAGCCGAAGTCGGATGCTTAACCGACTGAGCCACCCAGGCGCCCCAGTTTGGCCTTTGATCACAGAGTGAAAGATACCTGGAAAGTATCACCGGTAGCCTCAATTGGTCTTATTCTACAAGTGACTGCTTAATAGTCTCTTTAGAGTGAAAGGCAATTCATAGAGAGGCTGACCAGAATGAATACTCAAAGGATAGAGGGGAACAGTAGGGTTACACTGGTCTTACAGCCTTGTTTTAAGTGCCTTTTCTCACTTTCACTAGCTTTTTACACTGAATCTTTTTAATGATACGTTTGGAATTTTGAAACCTTTTGGAGGCTTCTGCTTGCCATTTAGAATAGATATCCCATTATGTTTAACTTGGGAATCGTTTCTTTGAAGTACGTTTCTTAAATAGCCTTATCTAATTGGAACATTCTCCATCATGGCCATTCTTAAGTATCGCCATTTTTGTAGCTTTTCACAGCTTCCAGCACCATAGTTTTTAGACCTCATATAGGCAGGTGTGCCAGAAGGTGGTGGGCTGTTGAATTTAAGGAACCTCAGTCTAAGCTTTTATTTATACAAAACGACAAAGACGTGTACCTTAACACACCAGGAGTCAGCAAAAGATGTTACTCTTACCAGCAATGCCCATCGTGGACCAAACCAGCAGACTCCATTCAGGGAGACTATGGACTGGACATGAGTAAAGGATGAACCCCCCAAACCCTGGTAAATGGGGGGTGTGGACAGGAACCGGAGAAGGGAATGCAATGTGGAATTGCAGATGGAACCAAGCGCTAAGGACTAGTGCGCTGTTAGATCCTCCTGTCAGTGTAGACCTGTGAACTCTGGACTGGAAAGCTACTTAGATTGGCAGCTCAAATGCAGAAAGAGCAGAGCTGAAACCAAGAGGGACTTACCAATTGCCCCTGGAAATGGCGAGAAAGAGGAAACTCAAAAGGGCTCTCAGGGCCCCATACCTGTGTTTCTGCCTGTCCCTGAACACTATCAGAATTTCCCTTTGGATCCTGACGCTGCTACCAAATGTGTTTAGAATAAGAATTTAACCAAGTAAATTTGAAGATTTAATAGGCTTTCTTAGACTCTTCATGAATGGGCATTCTATCTAGCAGATAGAGGGGAGCTCCACCAAGTAAACAAGAGAATGGTTTTTAAAGGCAGAGAGAAGGCATTCTTTAAAAAAAAAAAAGTTTATTTATTTATTTTGACAGAGAGTGGAGGAGGCCTAGCTGTCACTACAGAGCCCAATAGGGGACTCAGTCCCATGTACCACAAGATCGTGACCTGAGCCCAGATCAAGAGTCAGATGCTTAACCGATTGAGCCATCCAGGTGCCCTCAGAGAGAGGGCATTTTAAAAAAAGAAAGAAGGGATGCTTGGGTGCCTCAGTCAGTTAAGCATCCGACTCTTGGTTTTGACTTAGGTCATGATCTCCCAGCTCATGAATCCAAGCCCCATGTAGGGCTCTGTGCTGACAGCGTGGAGACTACTTGAGATATTCTCTCTCTCCCTTTCTCTGCCCCTCCCGCGCTTATGCACTCTTGCTCTCTCAAAATAAACTTTAAAAAAGAAATAAAAATTTAAAAAGAAAGGACTTTATTAGCGAGATGTGTGCTGTTTAGGCAAGGTTGCCTCCTAAGGGGAGTAGAAGGGGAGTAGAATCCCAGGGAATTCCACATTGACTGGTTAAAGGTTACATGCTTGGGGGATCAAAATTGCCGTTGGGTTAGGAATTAAGTCTTGGTTTACCGACTTGGGCCCTTATCCTATGTGGCGCCATTGGGGGCCCATGGTTATCGTTTGATCCCCAGTAACTGTGGGTGCGCAACACTGTGTCCTGCATTCATCATGAAACTAAAACTCTCCAGACTGTGCTAACTTAGCCCTGGCACGGCTGCTTGTAGGGCATACAGCTCTGTGTCTAACCTGTAGCAAGTAGACTCCCGTCCAAGATACCTGGAGGCTTCCGTGCCGTGGTTCTTAACGCACACGTGCAAGGATGAGAAGGGCGGGATCTGTGCTCAGACTTTCAACATTCCCTGAAGATAGGGAACCACTTATTTTCCTTTGCCATGCATTCTGTAGTCATTTATTTTAAATATTTTCTTTTTGAATGTATTAGGTTGAATCATATGAAATTGTTGCTTTTCAACCCTTTTGACCTACCAAAAAAATGGCAGTTTTATATGGCTTAACCTGATGTGGATGAACGGCATTTGAAGTATTTTCTAGATAAAAATAGGGCATACAAGAGCAAAGTTCTTCATTGAATTCAATTCACTTATTCATTCATTTTCATTCGTTTGTATTTATCCCTTGATCTTTCTACATGATTAGGGTTATTGAACTTTTTTCTTTTATTTTTTAGGTTTTGCTTTTATTATTATTTAAAGACCTATAAACTGTCAAAAACAGAGACCCTGATTTTAAATACAGATCTATGCCAGTCAAATAATATCCTCATTAATCTGGAGGATTAATGGTTCGGATTGTGAGATAATCTTAACAGTCGTCCTTAATTTAGCAAATCTTTACTTCAGAAAAGAGTAGTGAAAATTAATAATAGAAACAAGTGTGTAGAGGGAACAGTTGAGAAAATTGACCATTACATACAAGGAACTGATCATGATTATGCATTCACTTAAAAAAAATCTATTGATGTCTATCAGATAACATTTTCTAAAATGCTTATTTTGAGTGTGTGTGTACTCAAGCAGAGGAATGGCAGAGAGGAAGAGAGGATCCCAAGCAGGCTCCGTGCTGTCAGCCCAGAGCCTGATATGGGGCTCGAACCCACGAACTGTGAGATCAAGACCTGAGCCAAAATCAGCAGCCAGATGCCTAGCCAACTAAGCGACCCAGGCACCCCATCAGATAAAAATTTTTTGAACCCTAGTTTTAAATTGCTTTAAAAATACTTAGTGTCCTTGAAAAAGATGAAAACATGGGGCGCCTGGGTGGCTTAGTCGGTTAAGCGTCCGACTTTCGCTTAGGTCATGATCTCGCGGTTGTGGGTTCGGGCCCCGCGTCGGGCTCTGTGCTGACTGCCAGTTCAGAGCCTGGAGCCTCTTTCGGTCTGTGACTCCCTCTCTCTCTGACCCTCCCCTGCTCACGCTGTCTCTCTCTCTCCTAGAAATAAATAAAACATAAAAAAAAAAAAAAAGAAAAAGATGAAAACAGTATCCCTTGACACATACTCTGTAATGCACACTTTTTCTGTGTTAGTCTGGCTTGGTGATGTATTTTTATATGCACTTAGTATTGACTTCACATTGTAGTAGTGATACAGTCTTTTAACAAAGAGGAACTAAAACAAAACCTTTCTACCCAAAAAGATTTATTTCCTTCTACACTCGATCTCCTTAAAGTAGATTTGGTGTGATGTGCTGTGATCTCCACATTTCAGGTACTACGCCGTGATGGTCACCATGTTCTTCACGGTCAGCGTGGTGAACAACTATGCCCTGAATCTCAACATCGCCATGCCTCTGCACATGATATTTAGATCCGTAAGTGCTGCCGGCTCCCCGCGTATGCTCCTCCAGAAGATGAAGCCAAGAGGGGAGACCAAACACTTGGCAGAACTATAAAGGTCTTGTAGTAAGAAAAGTCTAGATTACAAGAATAGGTGTCCTGGATAGGTGAGCAAAGGCTGGCTTTCATCTGCGAAGTAAGGTAAAAGGCGGACAATTCATTCTTACCCTCTGAAGTCTTAAGAATGATCAATAAAAGGAGCTAAAATGTCCCTGTGACACAGATTTTATGTTTAATTTCTTTCATCTGGTTGATTTTATATTCAGACCTGCTATGAATGTTACTTATTTTTCATCAATTTTGGTATCTTTCATAAAATTACATTGACTCTTAGTACATAAAAGAGATACCTCCCTTTTCTGATATATATTTTTTTAAATATTAAATATTTTTTAATATTTAAATATAATATTTTAAATGTATATATTTATATTTTTAAACAAGAGATTTGAGACAACTAAATAAAGGAAAATTCTTGATGAAGGTAGGGTTTCTCCCAAAGCAGCAGATGTTTTCTTTTTCTCCTGTTTGGTGGGAGATCTGCATGTAGTTCATATATAAATAAGACAAGAATGCTCCCTGAAGAACGGGAGAGACTTCAAAGAGAGTGTAGTTAGAACTGTAGAAAAATGCGAGGCGCCTGGGTGGTTTAGTCAGGTCATGATCTCACGGTTTGTGGGTTCAAGCCCTGCATCGGGCTCTGTGCTGACAGCTACCTCAGAGCCTGGAGCCTGCTTCAGATTCTGTATCTCCCTCCCTGTCTGACCCTCCCCTGCTCGCTCGCTCGCTCTCTCTCTCTCTCTCTCTCTCTCTCAGAAGTAAATAAAACACCAAAAAATAATTAAAAGAACTATAGAAAAATGCAAGATGTGTGATCATTGGAATTCTAACATGTCTGCGTAGTCTGAGATTTTTGTGAGATCGAAGGTGCTGTCCCCAAAGGGACTTTTCAGCACTAAGTATAATTATGTAGGTGACCTTCAAAGCATTGGGCATGTAATAGACTTTTAGTAAAGACTTGCTGATTGATCACCTTCTTTCCAAAGAAGAGAAAGAGATCCCTGCATGACTTCTTTCATTATTTAAAACTGAGGGTGAGGAGAGCTTATTAAAACTGTCATAATTTAGATGGAAAATTTCACAAAAGTAAGTCTACAATATAATTGATTTCTGCTAAGCCTTAGTTTCCGCTCTGACCGATATTTAGAGAATTGATCATTTTTCTTGTTGTTATCTTTGAAACGTTTTATTATTTTACATAACAGATTTGTGTGGCTTGTACTCTTTGCTATTATAAGAACAAGTGAGCCTTATTAACTGTTCATCCTGATCTCTTCCTCCTTGGCTCTTTTGCTTGCGTGTCCATGTTTATATTTATCTGGAAATATTTTCTTTCCCAGGGCACTAAAACTCTGTTGTCTCCTTTTACAGGGCTCTCTAATTGCCAACATGATCCTAGGAATTATCATTTTGAAGAAAAGGTAAACAATACACTTTCGTATTCTATGTGTAGGAAGGGTGTGTCCTGAGCCCCATCCATCAGCTGGATTCCTTTTCTCGTAGCGATGACAAGTTAGCTCTTGATCATCTTCTCTGTCTCTCAGCTCTCTCTCTCTGACAGTGACCTGCATCTTGAGGCCGTGGACCAGGTAAGGGCCCCACCTGTCGGTTTGGAGCAGCACTTTCTCTGTGTAGAACTCTTGTCGTCATTGAGTCTTTAGTATCAGAGTAACCTACAAAGCCTGTTGATCTAGAACTTCACTCCTGCATGGTCTCTGCTAGCTACGTGGGTCTCTTTGCATTTATGTTTAATGAAATACTCAGTGTCTTGGTCCCGGTAGTTACATTTTAAGTACCTATTGCCCCGCGTGGCCAGTGGTGACCATGGTGGAGAACCCAAGTACAGAACATTTTCAGCTTCCCGGAAGTGATGGGACACTGGTGTCATAGAAGGTGTTTATAAGTACAGTGTGATCATCCGTATTGGGAAGAAAATTCCTGGGGTGCCTGGGCGGCTCAGTTGTTGAGTGTCCGACTTCAGGTCAGGTCAGATCTTGCAGTTTGTGGGTTCAAGCCCCGTGTTGGGCTCTGTGCTGACAGCTCAGAGCCTGGAGCCTGTTTCAGATTCTGTGTCTCCCCCGCTCTCTGCCCTTCCCCCACCCCTGCTCTGTGTCTGTCTGTCTCTCTCTCTCTCAAAATTAAATCACCATTTAAAAAAAAAAGAAAATTCCTAACAAAGGCCCAAATGGCCAAGAAGCTAGAATGGCAAGTTTCAGGACTGTTCCAGGTGGCTGTTGCCAGCGGCTCTCTCTGGGATGTGGTTGGGAAGTATCAGAAGGCCCTGGGATGCTTTCTCAAAGTATTTGTCTTCCACTTTTGTTCTGAGCCTTACCCCTTAACCCCCAAGGAGGAGGGGCACTGGGGTGAGTCGGCACATTCAGTCTGGAACATTTCTCAGGGAAAGTTCACCCTCGCTGTTAAGACCACAACTGTACGAGCTCATGCCAGCCTTTCTGTCTGAGACCCCAGTATTAGAACTCTCTATGGGAATCTGGGGTTTTTAAGTAATTAGGGCTGTGTCACGAGAAGGATCGTCGTCCTGTCGTGATAGGCTCCATATCGTGAACCGTTATCTTCTGAGGCTTCTATGTCCCCCAGATAAGGTATTATCGTGACTGATTTCTCTGTTCTCTCCCGGTAGACATTCATGTATACTGGTCGGGTTCGTTACATTGAAGTGACTGCCATACTTCCTGACAGTGTAGAATTCACGTTGGGACAGACCTGCCGTCCTTTCAATCTTTGATTTTGCTCTTAACAGGGGTACAAAAGCCACGTTATAAAAGGAATGTATTCTCCTGACAGTGCTCCGAAATGTCAAGGGCCTTTCTCCTACATCTCGGTTTCCCTTAAGACTTTATTCTGGGTCTGTCATCGTGAATCTATCCAAGTAAGCCTCTTTGGCACTCCTTGGTGTGTGTTCCCCAGACAGCAGGAATTTCCCCAAGGCAACTATCTAATATCATGACTTAGTAAGTTAGTATCACCTCTTGTTTATCTTGAGTAGAGCCTCTTAAGTTCATAGTGTGTTCCTCTTTCTAGGAGTTGAAGACCAAGCCTATACTTATTAATTTTCATGAATTTTTAGGCCACAGTTCCAAACCTTTCCCTATCTTGATCTTTCCAGACTGAAGAGCTCCCTTAATTTTACATCTGCCTCCTCCAGGACCCATTTCCTCACCCCGCCCTCCCCTCTAGCAATGTGCCCTTGGCCCCTCGAGCTGCTTCTTAGCCAGTACCTTTGGCCATTTATGGGTGATGTGACCAGAACTGTACAAAGTATTTGACTAGAAAACCTCTGATGGTTCCTCCTGTAAGTTTAATTTCTTTTCATTCTTGCCCGAATCCTTTTGCTTTATCACTAAGAGCCCAAGATGGATATTAACGATGTTGTTCCAGTTAATATGAAATGCCACTGTTCTTATGCTGGTAGTGCTGTTAGTGTCACAGTCCTCCCTATATCCAGCTGTGCCAGTGTTTAAAAACATTTGAGGGGCACCTGGGTGACTTAGTCGGTTGGGTGTCCAAATATTGATTTCGGCTCAGATCATGATCCCAGGCTTGTGGAATTGAGCCGAGTCAGTCTCCATACTTAGCTGCTTAAGATTCCCCCCTCCTCGCCCCCTCCACTCCCCCACTCCTCGCCCCTCCCCTTCCCCCCTCTTCGCCCCATGCCCCCCTCTTCGTCCCTTGCCCCCCCTCTTTGCCTCTCGCCCCCTCTCCCCCCACCTTCCTCTCCTCTCTCCCCCTCTCCCTCCCATCCCCCCCCCTCCCCCTTACTTGGCGCTGATAATCCATTCTTCCTCTTACGTAGTGTGTCTCTTGACACTCAGGTCTGGGCCCCCCAGGAGACAGGAGAAACAGGTGACAGTTAAGATCTCAGCTGGGCTTTCATTTGAACTCTGGAACAGAATGGAATGTTCTGTCTGGTCTGTGTCTTTGTTTCTGTTTTCTGATGAAACAATCTATCAGTCCACTAACCAATGGAAACTGTTTTAAGCAGCACTAAGATAGGGTATTGTTTAGACACCAGCCAGCATCCTGATTCTTTCACACATGGACTTAACTTACATGGGAAGTCTGCGGGGAAGGGATCCCCTCGGCCCTATTTTGGTAATTTGTACTCTTAGGCCCCACCTGACTGTGAACATCGTGTGGAAATTCAGCTCTGTGCTCTCTTCCTAAGGTGTTCTGGTTCTTGTTTCCGCAGGTACAGCATATTCAAATATACCTCCATTGCCCTGGTGTCTGTGGGGATATTCATTTGCACTTTCATGTCAGCAAAGCAGGTGGTAAGAATCACTTCACAAATCATTTACACTCACTGCTTGCCGTGGGGGCGCAGGTACTTATCATTGATGCAATAAATTTAAATGCTTATGCAATAGAAAGATCCGAGTCTGCAAGGCCAGAGTGGAGGTGAGAGGGTAACACAGATACTTCCTTTGTGCCAGGGCACCTTGCATGTAGTTCTCGTCTCTGTACCATGTATTTTTCTTATTTCCTAGACCTCCCAGTCCAGCTCCAGTGAGAATGATGGATTCCAGGCATTTCTAAGATGGTTACTAGGCAAGTACAGTAATTACAATAAAGCTAATTATCTCTGCAGCTTTGTTTGCTGAGTTTTCTCCTAAGGGACAGGTTTCTTGGCAAGAAGCTTTGGCTAAACAGATTATGCCACAGAGGAGAGAGGCAGCCGGGGTCATCTATCTCTAAATTTTGGTGTTCAGAACGTGAAAAAAAGACCACGTCCATGTTCAGGGTAGCATGTTCTACGACATGGATCTGTGTTTCCATGGCTGCCACCGGAATGGTTTCTGGCTGCCTGTCACACCCTCGGGGACCACTGCCTACAGTGTCCTCCATTACTTCACGATCTGTCTGCCGAACAGAAACTTCCACAGATGAAGGGCATGTTACAGCAGTTGACTCTTGAAATTTCCAAGGGACTCATTTCTGAATTTCAGATTCATGCTCTTCATAAGTTAGCTGCTCCCTAATGAGCGTTCCCAAACCTGACTGATGAGCAGAGTCTCCCGGGGAATTAAAAACACAAGTAATACACTTTGTGGAAGTGATGAGCCAACCCCTGCAGAGCTCTGACCTCACGTTGGAGGACACGGAGGTGAAACTCTTCCCTGCCTAGCCACGTGGCACAGTACCGGACTGAGACCAAGTGGAAGAGAAACAGCAATGGAAGGACTCTGTTCTCCCTGCTTCAGCTTTGAAACACTACCCCTTTAGGTTGTTGCTCTGAACATAGATCTTTATGACCTATTAGAAAAACACTATCCGACAGGAAAAAATTTGCAAAGGATATGAACACACAATTCACAGGGAAAAAATTAGTGTCTGGTCCTTGTCTGTTCGGCCTCAGTAATCTTGGAATCAAAGAAATGCAAATTGATTGTAACCGAAATGCAGTCCTTTTTAATTTTTGGTCTATTGAATTGGCAGGATAAGTAAATGATTATTCTCATTGCTGCTGAGGGTGCGGTAAGGCCACCATTTTTGTATAACCTGTTAATGGTAGAAGCTGACACGGCCTTTCGAGAAAAATGTGTGTTGAGTTTTTAAACTCTCTACAACTTTCGAGCCTGTAATTCCATTTTGGAAAGTTTACCCTAAGGAAATAATCAATATTTTGTTAAAAGATTTATCCCCACCCTGTTCGAAACCACCCCCGTTCCGCCTTCCAGGAATATAGATTTATGTAGAAAGATGGACATTGATTTTAATGGTAAAGTAATTGGAAGTAAGCTCATGATTCTCATGTTAGAATACATTCAAGTATGGTCCATTCATGTGATACAATAATGTGGAGCCATTAACTCATACCTTTGAAAAATTTTTAATAAATGACTTGAAGGAAAATCAAGAAAAAGATCATGAAGAAAGCAAGATACAAAATTGTAATACTCATTATGATCCTGCTTTTGCATAAAATACATAAATGGATATAGGGAGATAGAGCAAGCTGTTAAGGACTGGGTGGTAATATTGTGGTTGATTTTTATTTCTTTTAAAAATTTTGTATGTGTTCTACAACTAGTTTGTAATATATGGAGAACTCTAAACAATCTGTGTTCCTTAGGAAGATGTCTGGAAATGAGCAAATCCAATCTCTTAAAACCCACTTTTTGTTTTTCAGGTATTGGGGCGCTGACGTTTGCTCTTCTAATGTCAGCGAGGATGGGTATTTTCCAGGAGACCCTGTACAAACAATTTGGGAAGCACTCCAAGGAGGCTTTGTTTTATAATGTAAGCAATATCTTGAACCTGGGGAAGGTTAAAAAGCACTGAGTTGTAATATGTCATTTCAAATGAAATACACATCTTTCTGATGGTAGTTGAAGGACCAAGAACTTTTAATAGGCTACTCACGGGTGTTCTGAGCCACGGCTCTTTACATGAGGTGATCACGGTCAGTTGGTGTGAACCTAGCCTGTGTGCCAGCCAGGAACCCCCCCCCCCCGACCCCCCCGCCGTTCATGTGGGTGAAATCAAATTAAAAGCAATAAGGAAACTTGGAACAGGAAAATGAGTCCCCAAAACAACATGCCAGGGGGGATGTTTGCAATGAGGGGCAGGGGGGTGTCCCTCCCAATGCTCTCTTTACTTGATGCAGAGTTTCATTAGCAAATTCTCTGTGCTTCCGCTTTTTTTGTCGGTGGGGTGGGGGGGAACTGCTGAGCTTGCGCCCCCTCTGACTGTACTCTTCCTCCACCGTCTCTGCTGTGGAGATGGCATCCAAAGTGCAGCCCCGCATGGTTCCAGCTGGTAGGGACGCCTTCGGGGCCAGTATTGAGAGATTCCTTCTTCACTGCCAGCTTTCTGTACTAAAGTTGCAGACAGTCAGTTTGAGATATGTAACTGGAGCTGGAGTATGCGTCTGGGAATTTAAAACATAAGGAACATTCTCTCCAGTTCACATCTCTGTCTCAGAATAGTGCCCAGCTCAGAGTAAGTGCCTGTAATGTTAGCCATGATTCCTTACTGTGGTGGCTTCTCGTCAAGCGCGTTCAGCTGTGCTGACCTGTTGGGTCCCATTCAACCCCTTTCTATTCTTATCTTCATTTTATTTTCCCCTGGCCTTGTATTGTCCTCAAATCTCAAAACTCCCTGCAATCTGCCTGTGCAAGATCTTTATAACCCTTAAATCCTTGTATTTGCTCAGCCATTGTCAAAAGTAGCAAAACGTAGCAAATCCTAGGGACAAGATGACTGTGAGTTAAAATTTCCCTTTTGTTGAGGGAAGGATGCCAGCTCCAGTTTTTTGTTTGGTGCTTGATGATCATCTGACTCCTTCCCATAAGGGCAAGAGCTGCGGTTTGGGGTTGACAGCATGCCATTCAGTGTCACATGGGCAGAGGCACTGGGTACAAATATTTTAATTCAGCGAGCCCCAGTTGCTTTTCTTGATACTGCTTGTCAAATACCTTGTAAAACTTCAAGTCACTGTAAAGCCGCTCTAAATGTTCTGAGATGTGTTTGCTTTTCAATTTACACGAGATCTTCCTTCCCATAGCACGCCCTTCCGCTCCCGGGTTTCGTCTTCCTGGCTTCCGACATTTATGACCATGCGGTTCTGTTCAATAAGTCTGGTGAGTGAGGGGGTCTCCAGGAGAATTGCTTGACCGTTTCTGGGACCAGCTCTCAGTTTTCCTGTTGACTTGACCACTGCTGCTTTTCACGATCCTCTCTCCAAATCCCCACCCTGTTCGAAACCACCCCCGTTCCGCCTTCCAGGAATATAGTGCTGTTCATGAGCAGCTGCAGCAGCAAAAGCTTTTACAGGTGCTTCTCCGTTATTTGCAAACGATGTAAGAGAATATCTTCAAACTTCCTGCTTTGCTTTGGAATTTGTGTGTTTGCATTTGCACATGGCATGTTTGATGTTTTGAGGACACAGAGATGCAGCAATAACACACTGTGGGAGTGGGACTGTGAGGCACCGGGCAACAATCCAGCTCTGTTCCTGCACACCTTTCTCTGCTGGTGAAGGCGGACCTGCTCGCAGACCCGGCCCTCGCCTAGCCACCTGGGAGCCAGGGGAAACAAAAGCCATGAGGGGGCATTTTCCCAAGGTACAAGGAAGGTAGGCAGCAGGAATAAGCAAAATTAGTTCAAATGTCTGCAGGGTAAGTTAGCTATTCCTTGTTAAAGTGGCTATTTAATAAACTAGCTATAAATTGCCAACTAACTTGAAAGAAATTACTTATCTGATGTAAATACTAAAAGACAGGGCGTTATACAGACAAATGAACACACGGGAACAGATACACAGTTGTAAAGTCAAGGCTTTACATGGCTCCTACCTGAAGCGGTAAGGACATTTTGTAGAGTGGCAGTGTGCGCCTCGTAGGCTCGTTGGCGGTCTGAAGTCTGAACGTGCGTCGTGAAGTTGTGACTGTGACTGCTTTCTGTTTGAGTTTGCCCTTTCGGCTGCCCCTCGTGCCCACAGAAGTGTGTAATGAAGGCAACGTGTCAAAGGTTTTAAGGCTCTGAATTAAACACTTCTGACTTTTCTTTTTTTTTGAAGATACTAATTGACATGTAGCCATTTTTGTCACAATGATTTTTAAGGTCTCTTGAGAGTCCCCACACAGCAAAAAGCTATCAAAATAAACATATTATTAAATTCCTTGGGTTTGATTTGATTTAGTTCTTGGAGCGCTCTTCTAGAAGTCACAGGGATGGGTATTTATATAAAAGGGTTTTTAGAGTCTGCCTTCAGCTTCTTCAGAGTCATACCTGAGTTAAGTATATGCTTTTACCTCTTGCCTGCTTTGAGTTTTTCTCAGATGAGCCTGTTATCCTTGGATTTGCTAAGAACCAAAAATCCACCTAAATATTTTAAGTCCTACTGATGGACTCTTTTCCCAGCAAATTGATATAGCAAATCTCTGAAGTTATTAAACAGTAATAATACTTGTTAACTTTCTTTTCATTTCAGTACATACTAAGTGTTTCAGAGGTAGTAGAATACCAGATTACGGGGATTTCCCGCTAGTCCAGACATCCAGTTATAACAAATTATCTTTACACATACAGCTTTTTATTTTTTTTTTTTGTGGAAGAAAAGGTTCATTTACTAACCAGATCTCAACATTGCTGTTCGAATTTCCAAAGTTATTCTGTATAATTGAAACCCTGCAAACAACTTAGCAGTTTCAGAAAAGCGATGAAGGGGCACCTGGGTGACTCAGTCGGTTAAGCGTCCGGCTCCTGATTTTGGCTCAGGTTTGTGAGTTCAAGTCCCACATCAGGCTCCATGCTGACAGCACAGAGCCTGCTTGGGTTTCTCTCTCTCTCTTTCTCTGCCTCTCCCCTGCTTGCTGTCTCTCTCAAAGTAAATAAAAACATTAAAAAATGTTAAACTACAAAATTGGAAATTTAAAAAGACACTCTTTGATCTTGATTATTTTTTTCCTCCCAAATATTTACTGTGCAAACCTCAATACATAAAACTAACATAAGAATGTATTTAACGGAAGAAGAGTTACCATTCCATTGCCTGACACATCAGCTAATTTCATTTTCCCAGTCTCCTTCCAGGTATTGTTTATATATATTCTTACGTAGTGTCATCCTTGTGTGGATATAATTTTATACTTTTTCACTTGCCTTCTTTTTTATATGACTGTATATAATCATGATTTTTTTTAATCGAATGTGTAATGCTTTATTTAGTTAAAGCTCCTTGGCCGTACATAGCCCGTGCTCTAAGATTGGCCATTTAGATTGATTCAGTGTTTCCTTATTATAAATAGTACTGTACTCAATGGAGACCTTTTTTTCGTCTTTTTAATTAAGGGGGATTAATTCCTAAGAATACATATAAATACTTTTATTGTCCCTTAAGAATTAGTATGAAATTGATTTTTTTAAAAAAAATGCACCAATTGCTACTGCTGCCAGCCCAGTGGCTGCTAGTTCCACTGCCACTTCTCCAGATGAGGATTTATCACTTTTTCTTAATGGTGGTTTATTTTGAGAGAGAGAGGGTGTTCACACATGCAAACGGGCACAGACAAGGGGAGAGAGAGAGAGAGAGAAAGAAAATGAGAATGAGACTGAGACTGAGAATGAATCCCAGGTGGGCTCCACACTCCGTGCAGAACTGACACAGGGCTTGATCTCACAACCCCAAAACCATGACCTGAGCCAAAATCAAGAGTCGGATGCTTAGCCGACCAAGCCATCCAGGCCTCCCAGGATTTTATAAATTCTTAATCGCTGTTTTAATATAAAATGGTGGAGCCTTATTTAATTTTGAATTCTCTGATCACTACTAGGATTGACTATATTTCCAAATGGTATCTGAATAAAGACTGGCTGTCTTTATTCTTGTGTTGATGGTCGGTTGAGACCACATCATTGTTAACTTCTCCGTACTTCAGTCTTTCTTTGTAAAGTGGGGTCCTATTCGGGTGAATGGTAAAGAGTTTATTTTACAATTAAAATAATTATAATTTAATGCCTAAGATTCTCTCTCTTCCCCTCCTCCTCTCCCTTCACCTGCATGCTTGCTTGCTCTCAAATAAAAAATAAATTATAATTTAAGAAACCAACGTAATGACCCCTGAGACTGGTGTAGCCTGGTATCAAGGCAAGTAAAATGGTGTACGGTTCCAGTCTGTCTGCAGGGAAATAATGTCGCTGTCTCCATTACATTCCGTCTTGTATTACTTTGTCCAAAAAGATGAAGACTTAAGCTGTCAAAAATATGACTGTGTCCCCTTTTAATCTTTGCAGAATTGTACCAAGTTCCATTCGTTGGTGTGACAGTGCCCATCATGTGGTTCTACCTCCTCATGAATGTCGTCACTCAGTATCCTTTGCCCCGCTCTGCCGCACGCTCTTCTCGGTGTTATTTTGCCACAAGAAGGCTTGTTCCCCTCAGGGTGCGGTGACATGCGTTTCATTTCCGCCCGGATCTGTCCTGTACTGCAGGAGACAGAGACGCCCCTCCAGTCTGTGCCCCTGGGGAAGGCCAAAGAGACGGGAGCGCCGCGGGGGGTCCGCCAGCCACTGGGCGCCAGGCAGGAATTGCTCTGGCTGGAGCAGAGAAATGAATGGGGAGTGACGTGTTAGTGTGTGACACGGACGCTCTCACTTCTCCCGGGGGTGTCAGTAGCCTAGGATATTTCACAAGCTGCCACACAGTTCTGCATGAAATTTCAAACTAATGAAAGCCTAATTTTTTAAACGGCTCTCTTGAATGACCTTAAGTACGTTATAAAAATCGTTAAGTCTTTGAAACCGTGAAAAGAGGGAGCTCAGTCTCATTCCTCTGAGGTCACCTCAGAGATGTGCCCGCAGCGTTCCTCTTTGGATGAGCGGGTAGAGGGCCGGGGGCCAGGTCCCGTAAAGTAGGTTTGTTGGCCTTTCCTGAAAGTGTTCCCTTCTGTCACTACGTGGGAGGGGACCCTCACTAAACTGTGTGGAGAATTCAGAACCAGGATTCAGGCCTTCAGGCAGTTGGAAGTTAGGATCCACAAACGGATGGTAGGACATTCATTCCGCAGGCTGTTCGGCTAAGGAAGAGCCTCAGAGCAGCCATAACCCTCCCCACGTTTTCTGGTTCTTAGAATATGAACATGTAAACCATGCCAGAAGGTTCTCTCTGCTGTTCTCTCGATAGTCTACAGAAAACCGCCTTAACCCGCCACTCCAGGTATGTGTGCATCCGGGGTGTCTTCATTCTCACCACAGAGTGCGCCTCCCTCACCGTCACCTTGGTTGTGACCCTCCGCAAGTTTGTCAGCCTCATCTTTTCCATCTTGTACTTCCAGAACCCTTTCACTCTGTGGCACTGGCTGGGTACCCTGTTTGTCTTCATTGGGACCCTGATGTACACAGAGGTGTGGAACAGCATGGGGACCACCAAAAGCCAGCCTCAGAGGGACAAGAAGAACTGAGGTCCGCCTGGAACAGAGAGACCGGGCTCGGGATGTGCCAGGGTCTGGTGAAGGTCTGGCCAGCACTTCGCTTGCATTCATGCTGAAGTATTGAACCAACCATGTACCAGAGAATCCCCAGAACGAGGGACTTCTCCGATTTCTTACGGCTCTGCCGACCGTTTGTGGACTCCGAATGGAGACCCCACAACCCTGGAATAGAAATCAGAACAGTTCTCCGCTGTTGAACAGCCAGCTGGTTTGTTGTTTGTTTACCAGAATATTTAGTATTGCTACTTCTTTATTGACTTCCGAGTCCCCAGAGCTACTAGTTTTATATCCGTGGTCTCAGGCGAGATTTTGCCCTGTCGCTATTCCGATGATTCTCTGCCGCATAGTCGTGATGATCCTGTGGCCTCCTCCCTGTTCTTCCTGTCACGCTTCCCCTCCCCCGCTCCCAACCCCAGCAGCGCGTAAAGCCGGTCAGACGCTCCAGGGATCATCGCCAGGAACAACTGAGTGGCCCCGTGGATGGAGAGAGCCGCGACTTTGGCCTGGGAAGGAAGCCGTTGTCCCGGTGAGCGGAGCCCTGCCAGCACCGGAGCGGGACTGAGGGGAATCCTTTTCCACAGCTTTTTACTTTTCCCCCCTACGCAAAAGTCTTATTTTCTGTGCTTACGACAGACCTGCAGCATATCTCTGTGGCACAAAGTTAATGAGAAGGAGAGGTGTATGAATAGGGAGAGACATTCTCCATCACCCTTCTGTGTGAAGCCCGTTAGCTCAGAGAGGTGATGGCGGCGCCAGGACGGTGGGGAGCAGCTGGCGCTGGTCAGCTCCCACAGAGCCACCGCTCCCCTCCGGGCAGAGCCGGGGGCCTTCAGTGAAAGGCATCTACACCAGAGAGTCTCAGCTCTGCCGGTCAGTCTGAGAGAGGCCTGGTCCGTAGACTAATATGTGGTGGGTGTGGTGGATAAATCAGGTCAAATCACAACTGAAGTGAATTTTTTTTGTTTTCCTGTGAGGTACCTTAATGTTCTTGATGGGCATTTGCGGAGGCTTGGGAGGTAACATGTTCTACTGTGTAGAAATGTGCCCCCCTTCAGCTGATCACATCAGAGGTGTCGTTTTCCTCCCTGGGGTAATTTTGAGGAAGAGGAACGATGTGAATGTAGCATGTGTGGGGGGGTGTGCGCATTCCTGTAGTTTGTGTGATAATATAGGAGAAGAGCATGAAAGTGTGCTTTTATTTCCTTGTTCTTCCCTCAGCCCCAGACCTTCATTAACATCACGCGAGCACACGCTCCTCTCTTTTGTGCACACAAAGGCCTTCCATTTTTTTCTGGACGCAGATTGTGTTCGTAGATTGCGATGTGGCTCTCCGGGCCCCCTGGGCCCACTCCGAGGTGTGGCGTCTTTCCTTCTCTTTGTGCAGCTGTTCTCTGAGGGGCCTGAGAGGAGTGTTTTAGAACCTCCGGGTTGCTCTGGGGAAGTAACTTAAGCTGCCTCATTCGTTCCATAAAATGGGATATTGTTCCTCCATCTGAGTCACAGGGTTTTCAGACTGATTTGTTGCTCTGGACATGGACGGCTTTCCAGTGCTGATAATAGTTTATTCTAAAAGATGGTGAATTTGGTATGAACCTATTCATAGAATCAAAAGGCATTTTCTTTGAAATACGTAGAGTTCCTCAGACTGGCGGTGCTATAAACAGCATGTGTTAAATATCCTCTTAAAAACAAAAATAAAAGCTACTTTTGTAAAAAAAAAAAAACAAAAAAACAAAAAACTAAAATTAAAAAAAAATCACTTAATAGAAGAACCTGCCCCTGGGGCGATTGGATTGCTTGTATTGTATCTGGATTCCTAACAGCCTGGAACCTTAGTTCATCCTTTCTATGTTGATGGAGATTTTTAGTAATTGAAATGTATTGGTGGACCCAGAGAGCATTTAAAACTGGGTCTGTTGTGTTTTAGATTCTGGTTTTAGAAAGTGTATGTTCCTCTCAGCCCGAACCCCTCTGCTGGTTTTATTAACAAGGGGTTATAAATGGACAGATTAGGGCACTCACGCAGTAGAACAGAACACCTATAAGAACAGAACGTCTGAAATGCCCTGTGAGTTGATTTTTTTGTGGCCGGAGTGTAAAAAATAGGTCTAATGGACACTAGTTACTACTTTCATTAGAAACTTTCTTTTTGACCATTTATTTCCATTAGATAACTGGCTTTTCAATCCAGGTTGAAATTAATTTCAACTTGTATTAAGGGGGCAACCAGACCAATGTGACTGGAGAAGTGTCTATTTAAATGCTTCTTTCTCTGGGTTAAGACTGTGTAACTTTGTGCCCCACAGATAGTTTGTTTACAAAAGAGATTGGTGTTTAAAACATCGAAATCTCTGTTAGAGCAAAGATCAAACAGGATGACACTAGTGAGAAAGTGTAGTGTGTGTGTGTGTGTGTGTACGTACGCGTGCGCGCGTGCACACACCTACCTAGGTACCCATTTAACGCCTTGACTGGTATATAAAGTAAAAGGAAATGGTAGATATCTGAATTAGATTAATGCAGTGTCTGTGTAACCTTTACCACAATTCTGTTGTCACATTGTAAGTGCGGTCTTTTTCATTTCTTATTTATTTTTGATCCTTTATTTACCTTTTCATCCAACAAAAACAACCGTTAATGTACTTGGTAAGTTTCTATCAAGTTTTAAAGTATTGGAACATAATCTCATTCTCTCCCCCTTTCTTCCTGACCGGTTATCCCAAATGAAATGCTACAGTGTTGTATTCTTCTGGGAAGATTAACTGACATTTTTAAAGGATTCTTATATCTTGGGGTCATTTCTTGAGCACTTCTTCTGCCCTGTTTTTCCAGCCTCTGTTCACTTGTGTAATTTTCTCCTGAGCAATACTTGTATCTGTTTATGCCTCTATTCTCTGGGGCCTCTCAGATGTTTTTGTGGATTTTTACAAGGTGTTTGTATCTGTGTAACATGTATTTTGTTAAACATTGTTAGCAGCATTGATACTTGGAGTGTGAAAATATCTGGCCCCTATGTGAGTACATGAATAGTTAAGTCTGAACATAAGGGTTAATGTAAAAATGTTTCTGTATTTTATTACCTCGAACTGGGACTGAGAATCTTAACTACCATTCCCTTCTACGTTTGGAAAATAACTTTGCCTGCTCTTTTCACCCCACCTTGAGCTGACGTTATTCAGCAGTGCCAAATGCCTGTGGGGAGGGGGAGGTAGGACACCTCAGGAGTTATTCAAAGCCCTTGAGTTAGTGTGGTGGGCCTGCCCATGGGTGGACCAGTTGGTCTGTTAGAGTGAAGGGGAGGAAGAAATTTTCCTCTGTCCAAGGTTCTTCCAGCTGGACTAGAAATTAAATTTACGTGAGACAGATTAACAGGAGAAAAATCAGTTTTGTTTTGTGCGCACGGTACCAATAAGAACAAAAGGCCAAAGCAGGCATTTAAAAATATATACATTTTAGACGGTAACTGTCAGGAATCTATAGGAAAAGAGAATGAATGTTTGGGAGCATTAGGAAGGTTTGAGGATGCAGTTGTAGATTAGTAAAAATATAACAAGGTTTGTTTCTACAGCTTGTTTTTTTTTTTCCTTAATTTTTATTATTTTTGAGAGAGAAAGAGTCCGAGCAGGGAGAGGTAGAGAGGGAGACACAGAATCCGAAGCAGGCTCTTAGCTGTCAGCACAGAGCCCGACACAGTGCTTGAACCCACGAACTGCAAGATCATGACCTAGGCCAAAGTTGAATGCTCAACTGACTGAATCACCCAGGCACCCATCTTGGCTTGTCTTTTGAGGTGCCTGGGTGGCTTGTTGGTTAAGCATTTGACTCTTGATTTTGGCTCAAGTCATGGCCTCACAGTTCATGAGTTTGAGCCCTGCAGTGGGCTCTGTGCTGACAGTGTGGAGTCTGCTTGGGATTCTCTCACCCCTCTGCCTCTCAAAGTAAATAAATAAACTTTAAATAAAGATGTCATTTTAGTTCTTAGAGCAGGAAGGGTATCTTTCATGTGAGAAATTTCTTTCAAAAGGGCAGAGGAGGGTCTGAGTGTCCTTGCCCTGACTGTTTCCCACGTAGCTTCAATTCACAATGACCAGTATGCCATTGGGGGACATTAAGGTGGCCTGTTCTTGGCCCCTACATTTCCCTCCTGAAACTTCCTGGGAAGTTTCACACATTAAAAGTTGAATTGGGGAGGTGGGGCACCTGGGTGGCTCAGTTGACGTCCAGGTCTTGACTTCAGCTCAGGTCATGATCTCATTCATGGTCATGAGATCAAGCTCTGTGCTGGACATGGAGCCTGCTTAAGATTTTCTCTTTCTCTCTCAAAAAAAATAAAAGTTGAGCTGGTAGGCTGTTCAGTCTTTGAGTTCTTGACAATAGGTCAGTTTAGTTAAATTCATTTCAGGAGGTGGTGATGTATTCTCAAAGGTAGTCTTGTGGTTCAAATCAGGTAATGAATAAAAGCCATTTCTCTGGAACCAAAGCAATGGTTAATGATTAGATCAGATCATAAACCAGTTTCTGAGGGTAGCCAGTCAAGTGGACTTCTGGATGGCAGGCAGTGGCAGACTGACATATATTCTTGGTTTTTACTTCAGTGTCTGTGACTTTTTTTTTTTTTTGAGTAGCCCACAGAGCACCAGGCATGGAGAATGTCTACATATGAGCTGTTGTGATTTTCTGAAGTTTACATGAAGTTGTTTATATTCAGTTTGCAGGGCTTCCAGAGAAAGGGCAGTTTTAGGTATCAAATTATTCCAAGTAAAAAGATGAGGGGGAAAAAACCAAAAATGTTGATTTGGAGAGTAGTAGCCAGGTATTAGAGAAAACCAGGAGAAATCAGGACCTCGTCCAGTTTATAATGAAAAGTATTAGAATATAATATTCACAAAGGTATGTTAAAACTATTTTTCTCTTTATAATCCCATTCTTTTTTACCAAAGGTAGCCCAATTAAAATTTAGTTGTTTGCCAAATAAGTATAGTTTTTAAAAACTTGGTCTGATTATTTACATAAGTGCATCAAGAATAGCAATTAATCCTAAACACTCTTTGCAGACTGAACTTTAACAGCCTCTCAAGGTCATTGCCACAGTCTTTGCCTGTAGCACATGTAGATTTGGGTTAATTTCTCAAGGTGCAGGTCCTTGAACCTGCCCAGAAGTGACCTTCTCTGTTCACCTGGTAAGTCTGATGAGAACCCTGTAAGCAAGGTATCAGGCTGTTTTTCCAAGGGGCTTTATTGGTCCATATAGCCAATCATGGTCGGTGACGCGATCTGCTTATATCTGATTTAGGCAGGTCTCCTTCAAATATGACATTCCAGTCAAAGCCTTGGTCATATAACCAGTGTTTCTAATTGTGTCCTGGTATTCTTCTTCAACTTATGCAGGTGAATGTACAGTAAAACCTTGGTTTGCGAGCATAATTCATTCCAGAAACATGCTTGTAATCCAAAGCACTTGTATGTTAAGGCGAATTCCAAGAACCGTCGGCTGGGTTGTGACGTTAGGTGTCATGTACTCCTTGTATTGTAAGACGTCACTCATTTTTCAAGTTAAAATTTATAGGAAATGTTTGCCTGCCTTGCGGAACACTCACAGAACAAGTCACTCACAATCCAAGGTTTTACTGTATTAAGAAAATAAAAGAATACAGAGTATTTTTGACTTTTGAAGGGATCAGTAGGGAGAAAAAGATAAATGTTTTGTTTCACAAAGGTATACTTTATCAAATTACTGTAAGTTATAGTTATCTTAAGAGAAAAAAATCTTTTAATCTGGAAAAACCATTTTTTTAAAAAAATGTTTCAACAGAAGTCTTAAAAATTATAATCTTCAGTTCATTCAGTCTCATGTTACTCTTGTTTTGCTTAAATCTAGTCTTTTCATTAGTTCTGGAAATTCTTATCCAGTTCATTTGTGTGATCTTATCAGAAACCTGTACTCAGACTGCTTTCCAGGAGTATCAGTGCAGATGAAACACATTTGCAGGAGACTTTATAACCACATCTAAGTTATAGGTATTGTAAATGACAGAAGACTTAAAAATGCTCATGGCTAAAGATCTGATTAGAGTTCATTACAATGCAGTTGACAAATTTGGTTATTTCTGTGACACACAGCATTTCAAGATCATAACATAATAGGACATAACCTGGTTTCTAGGAGTTTCATAAATGTGATCTGAGAGGGTTTAGTAACTAAATGTTTTGAGATATGCCATGGGCTGTCTGGTATATTTTGGTTAGATTGTGATGAAAAGACTTTTTAGAATTTGGTTTGGGGAAGTTTGTACATTTTATTAAATAGGACCACAGATTACTATGAAATGTTTAACCAAAGTGACAATGAAAGATTTTATAGGCCAATACAGAAGGTTACATAATTGTGAGCAAAACTTCTCTCTTGACATTGAAGACCATTTTTCTAATTATTGGTTTGCTTTTCATAAAAAATTATAAAAACTTGTTTTTAATGTTGATAATGTTTATTTTTGAGAGCAAGAGGGAGACACAGAATCTGAAGCAGGCTCCCAGCTGTTAGCACAGAACCCAACATGGGGCTCAAACTCACAAACCATGAAATCACGACCTGAGCCAAAGTCACATGTTTAACTAAGGTACCCGTAATAAACAAAATTTTTATTCTTTTCTAAAAACCTACAACCATCTTTTGTACATTAAGGTTTTGTCCTTCAGCAAACATGTATTTCCATTCCTCATACCATTTCCTTACTGAAAACAATTTCCTTGTACACAGAATTGTTTCCCTTATCTTGGGTAACTTTAGCTCATTAATTTGGATTTTCACTTAGCACTAAAGTGTTACCTAAATAGTGAAGTTTGTGAAATAGGCAAACCTTGATCTCACCTTCTGCCAGGACACAGTGAATCTGTATCTACATATAGAGCAGTTCCTCCTGGAGAACTGAGGGCTGACTAGACAGCGTCTGCACAACAGAGGGTGGAGGGAACACACAGAACAGCGAGAGAGAGAGAGAGACACACGATAACAACTGGGAACCCCCATCCCTAACTGTCAACAGATAAAATTGAGGGGCTGTGAGCAGATTTATCTGGGATGTAGATAAAAAGCAGTGATTTAAAAGGGCAACTACAATATAGGGGAACTAGGTCTCCACCAAGCAGTAGGGGGCCTGCCACTGTTTGTTTACACTCCTCCATTTTGATAGTGCAGACAGGGCTAGGATCCTGGCTCCAGTGGGCCCTGGCCCTCAGCACACACTGGGTAGACCCAGACAGCACTGACTACAGTTCAAGGTAACACAGGGGCAGGACATCCTGGGAGAACATGACTCCTGGGGCACCCCTTGCAGGTACTGCTGTGGGACTTTGCACTGCGTCCTGCAGAGCCCTCATCCACACCTATGGTGTGGCTACAGCTCCAGCCAACCAGAATGGCCAGACACATAGTCTATACTGGATATCCCTATGTGAGGCAATTTCTTCAAGTTTAGAAAAGAAGTAGCTCTTCTACCTAATTCATAGAAATAAAATGAGGAACATGCTCTAAATGAAAGCATCAGAAAAAGAGCTAAATGAAATTGGAGATAAACAATCTACCTGGTAAGGAATTCAAAGAAATGTTCAGTGGACTAGACAGAAGAGTGGATGAACTCGGTGAGAAGTTCAACAAAGAGAAAATATAAAGAACCAATCAGAGTGGAAGAATACAATAACAAATGAAAAATATACTAGAAGGAATCAGCAGCAAGTTAGAGAATGTAGGAGAATGGATCAGTGATCTAGAAGACAGGCTAATGGAAGTCACCCAACTTGGACAGCAAAAAAAAAAAAAAAAAATTTGAGGTTAGATAAAGGGTATGTGGAACAACATGAAGCATACTAACATTCACATTATTGGGGCCCTCAGAAAGGGTCAGAAAACTTACCTAACCTGGAGAAGAGAACAGACATCCAGATCCAAGGGGCACAGAGCCCCAAACAAGATGAGCCTGAGGAAGTATACAAGACACATAACTAAAATGTCAAAGATTACAGATAGAGAATCTTAAAAGGAGCCAGAGAGAAGCAACGAGTTCTGTACAAGAGAACCCCCATAAGGCTGATTGTTTTCAGCAGAAAATTTACATTCAAAGTGCTGAAAAGAAAAAATCTGCAACCAAGAGTACTCCAGTTGGCAAGACTGTCACCCAAAATTGAAAGAGAGGAAAGAAAAAAATTCCCAGACAAAAGGTAAAGGAGATTTTCACCACTAAATTGGCCTTACAAGAAATGTTAAAGGGAATTCTTCAAGTGTGAAAGAAAAGACCATAATTAGAAGAAAATTATGAAAGGGAAAACACAAGTAAAAGCAAATATACAGTAATAGTATATAATCACTTATAAAGCGAGTAAAATTAAAAGACAAAAGTAGTAAAATCAATTATATCTAATAGTTAAATCTAAATAGGGACTCAAATTTTAAAAAAGATGTAAAATATGACAATACATACATAAAATCAATTATATCTAAGAGTTAAATGATGTCTAAATAGGGACTTAGAAAAAGATGTAAAATATGGCAATATATACATAAAACATGGAGGGGGTATAAAACAAGTTCTTTTAGAATATGTCTGAACCTAAGCAACCATCAACTTAATACTTAGGATGT